TTTTTACACGTTTATAATAAAAGACAATTTTATTTACACTTTTTAGAAGTGACATAATGTTAAATTATACTTATTCTTTGTTAAGTGGCATATTAAGCTAAACAATATTTTACTTTTGTCACAAGTGACATTAGCTCTATGAGTAGTTAAGTGTGTTACTCGGTGTGTTTGCCACAGCAGCAAACCCAAGAATAAATCTACTCATATCTATTATTTATACAGGGTGAGTTTCTACTGACCGTGTTAACTTCGCCAGTGGGTTCTACTCACTAAAAGGAACAAAAAAGTTCCTATAAACCCATGTCCGATTTTCGACCGTTTGGCTGTTTTGGGGGATTTTGTGTTTTTCTTATTTTATTAGACTTTGCTCCACAATTTATGTAATAAAAACTTAACCAATTACTTTAGAGAGTTATAGTTAATATCATTGGAAAGAACATTAAATTTGCTATAAATCAAAGGTTTCATTCAACAATTATACCATTACATAGCCCACGTTATAACCAAAATAAAGTAAAAATGTCATTAAATTAATTAATTACGATAATTTTCATGGGCCTCCTTTGATACATAAACCTGCATTTATGCAATGTTGAAATGCATAAAAAACTTTGCATTTTAATAATCTTTCAAATGATATGCTATTCAATACTATTATTGATATAAACCAGTGAGAAATTACTAATAAACTACAATAAAACACGGTTTACAGATTTTGTTTTTGCACAGTTTTACTGTTAATAATAATTACTGTATACTCCATGATGCATTTTATTGAACTATCTGATAAAATTTGTACATTATTTTAACTTTTAAATATTTATTAAAATTATCCGAATTAATAAAATTTATAAACTCAAGGTTTTTCACATTTTCAAAGATGTAGTGTGTTTGATTCTTAAATGCTGTGTAATTAGTTTTACCTTGTGCTTGATTAAGTCAGCTTTTATTGATTTGTCATCTATAGCTAGATAACTCAGCTGCTTGAACATACCTTGTTGAGTAATTTGCTGTTTTAACTTTATATTTCCAAGTCAATTGAGAGTTTTCAAACATTTATTAAAATATGGAGAATTTTACCAATCAAGATTATGCCAACATGATGAATACAGTAATTATTATTAACAGTAAAACTGTGCAAAAACAAAATCTGTAAACCGTGTTTTATTGTAGTTTATTAGTAATTTCTCACTGGTTTACATCAATAATAGTATTGAATAGCATATCATTTGAAAGATTATTAAAATGCAAAGTTTTTTATGCATTTCAACATTGCATAAATGCAGGTTTATGTATCAAAGGAGGCTCATGAAAGTTATCGTAATTAATTAATTTAATGACATTTTTACTTTATTTTGGATATAACATGGACTATGTAATGGTATAATTGTTGAATGAAACCTTTGATTTATAGCAAATTTAATGTTCTTTCCAATGATTTTAACTACAACTCTCTAAAGTAATTGATTAAGTTTTTATTACATAAATTGTGGAGCAAAGTCTAATAAAATAAGAAAAACACAAAATTCCCTATTACAGCCAAAAGGTTAAAAATCGGACATGGGTTTATAGGAACTTTTTTGTTCCTTTTAGTGAGTAGAACCCACTGGCGAAGTTAACACGGTCAGTAGAAACTCACCCTGTATATGTGCAAGTATAAAATATTAAATTCTTTTTTAATTTTCCAACAGAATATTCAACAAAACAACTTACAAATTGCTTAGTTAGCAGGTTTGCTGTATCAATTATACACCTGTTACCACTGAAAATATACCATTTAATTCACTCTAGGTGTTACATAATGAATTATGCCCATACGTGAACTGCATTTCCTCGCTCGAAATGTATGTGACAGTTTTCTTTTCTACTGTTGAATGTAAACAATATAAAGTGTACAGAGACTTTTAACATGTGTTGACACATTTGTCACACAAACTACACAAACATTAGTGAGTATGTGCGTCATAACCTACTCCATTTGCGGCGACATGTTGACATTGTCTTTGACTCTATTACTGCTCTTGTATTGATGGCTTTTGTGAAATTATCATACACATCCTGTTTAATATTGTATTCTATAGGACTTGTGCGTTTTGAGTGGCATCAAACAAAAGTTTTTACTGTTTTTATGACACTGCACACATGTTTTATCGAGTGTGATTCTTCACAAAACAAGTTAACAAAATACTTTGGAATATTTTGTAAAAAATCTGTTTTAAATCTAAAAAAATCTTGAATTTTTATTATAAGATCCAAGGGCTCAATACCACTACATTACAATATTTTTTTCATTTTAGGGGCTGTAAAATTCAAATCCACGTTTGTTTAAGTTATGATACAGTATGTTTTATAGTTAAAAATAACTTATGCATATTCTTAGGGTTTTGTTGACATTTGAATCAACTTTTTACGCTAAATCTTCAAAAGATAAACAATTCCTTTATTACGTTGTGGTTGTATACTTAAAATTTAATCAATAGATCTAGAATTCTTCTTATCAAATTGAAGTACACGTTGAATGTAATTTATATTTGGATGTTTGAAGTTTAAATTCATCATGTTATGCACCTTTTTTAAATGAAAACTAAAAAAAATCAATGGAATTTACTTAGGCTGTAGGCCTAATTGAAAGGTGAATTTACTATAGATCATTATTATCAAGAAAGTGTATTTTGTTTCTAGATTAAAATTAGTTACTGAATTGATAATGAAACGTTCTGTAACACCAATTTTAATTTTTCTAAAAAACTTACAATTTTGTTTTAAATTTTGTAATTTAAGAGAATTTTTTGTTAAAAGTACTATACCGTATCATGGTAGAGGGGAATTTTAGCTTGATGAATCAGCGTCCTACTGAGACTTAGGCTTTTTCCGTGAATGAAACAAATTTAGAGTTCCGTAGGGAGTCCGAAGATGGCTTTTCATTTCGCCCCTTAGACTTTCCTCTGAGCGATATTGCAGTTTATATTAATCGAGAAAATGAGAAGTCCGTTGATGCTTTGGAAAATACAACTCGTCAAAATCTTTACCTAGAACACAGTTTGTACAAACAGGGCTAATGTGTCGGGTGTGAGAGAACAAATGGAAAAAACTCAGATCTATGATTAAGTTTTGTCATTGACAGTTCTATTTCTTGAAGTGGAGAATATCTATTGTATGTAAATATAAATAATGACTTTATATTGTTTTACTTATTCCTTATAGACTTCAAAAGGTATGAACGCCGGTTCAAACAATTAGTATACTAACTTTTATCTTTTCTATTTTGAAAGATTTTTTGTACGTTGTAAATAAGATAAAACCTCTGTGTTTACGCTTTTCAAACCATTCTTATTTTATTAATTTTTTAGAGTTTTTGAATTAGCTGTTTGAGTTATACAATCGAATAATTCCATTCTATAAAAAAACTGCGTTTTATGGAAAATTGTAGTACATAATTTGATTTCCCATGAACTTGTCAGCTTTACTATTTATTCTTATGCTTTACTATCTACGTATTTATTTAGCATACAAATCTGTTTTAAAAACATACAAGTGTTTTTTTTTTTTTCCTAGATCGTTAGGCACGAGCCCGGGATTGTTTTTCACATTACTTCAGGCTAAACCTAGGGGTTGCGGTATTATCACCATTATCCATTGGTGACTTGGTGGGATTTGAAGTCCTGCGCTCTAACCACTAAACCAGCTCGCTCCCTGAAGTTTTTATGTTAAAGATTCACTAGTCTCAGATTAGTTTTAACGAAATGTCACTCAGGTTCAGTAGGAAATACCACTTTGATAGACATATTTTGAGCGATCATGTAGCAATAATTCACCGAATACAGTATTTAAATACGCACAAAAATAACTCATACAGTATTTCTTATGTGTTAACTTCATTCTAGCATAGAACAGATTACAAGGTTATTAAAATAATAGTATACAAGACCATAATGCACTACTTTAGAAACATACTTCATAATGTTAGTGTGCTTCATTCCTCTTTTCTTTTACATAGAGATATCCGTGAGTTATGAAAGATACTGTCGTTTGTCACACTCCGCTGGTGACATGAGAAACCAATTACGTGTATGCTTTGTCATTAAAGAAATTGGATCATGTGCGTTGTTTTCTCGGCGTCGGAAGCATGCAGTAATGAGTGTTAAGTTCTATAAACACTTCAATTTAGTCAGTCTCTATTTTTGGTCCAACTATTCGCTGATTTTGATTTATTTATTTTCTAATTAATTTCATCTTTTTTGGAGGGGTGTAAATTTGATAGTACTTCCTTATTCAATAATGAGTTTGCAGAAAATGTAAGGATATACATTGACCTTGGCTTTTAAAATTTATCGATTTTATTTCAGTTATTACAATGTTCAACAAAGTGATTGTAGATAGTAATTAGTTTGGGTAAAAATTCAAAACTCTTTCCCAGATTTCAGCACTGTTGGTTTTAAACGAGAGAGCATAGCTCAGAGGTGTTATATTAGACTGTTAGGAGAAACAGTAATAATAAAATACTTGTTATGATGGAAAATTTCCAAAATCTGGTTGAAAATCTAGTTTCAGGGCCGCAACTTATACTGTACACTATTTAATTGACTTGGTACACATTAATCATACAAGTCCAGGCAATGTTTCCTTTTATTTTTTTACTGCAGAGGCTCTCCTCAAACACTTATGTATTTCAATTATCAAACAAAACTCACAATGTGAGCCGGTAAAGTTCAAAAGTTAACTGTATTGATACATTTTTACGGAGAACCGGTACATAAACACAAGACATCGCTGCCTTGGTTATATTATGTCGTGATATTCAACTGATGCACCAAAATCAGTTTTAAAATCGTAATGACACTATGTTTTTGAGATTTTGTACACTGGTAGACGCTCCAGAAAACTATTAGTAATTAGCGTTTGATTATAGCCAGCAAGAGGTGTTATTCATTTGTTAATACTTTAAATAGACAAGTTGATAAATAGTTTATACAATGTTAACGTTTGGTTTGTGTTTACAGCAGCCTACCTGGAGATTGTGGGAGGAAGAAAGAGTGGATGGTGCCGTTTACACTGTCTACCTCAAGAAAGTCCGCTACCATCGGCCCACCAAGTCTGTGTCATCTGTGAGTATACAGTTTGGATTTACATTCTTTTCTAGTTCAGTTCCTCTGTAACAAGTTTGGCTTTATTTTTTTTATCGTATTAGTTGTAACTAATCAAGGGAATTTTTAAGTGCTCAAGCAAAACGGCTGGCTACAGTGTAACGGCTAAAGTTGTTTAGTTATTTTTTTTGTAAGTTAAAATTAGTAAGTGTCATCAGGTGATGTTTTGGTTCTCTTCTGTCCGTCCGATTTAACATGTTTTAAAATGTTTGTACTTAAACCAAGCTAACAGTTCAGATTTTTTTAAATTACAGTAGTTAGGGAACCATGTGTACATTTCTGAAACCATTATACCACTAGTACCACAAATAAGTACCACTAGTACCACAAGAATCACTAATAATAATTTGATCATTACATTTACTCAATGTGAAATGTTCCAATTTTCAAAACGACGATGTATAAAGTTGTTTAACAATTTCTAATAATACCTGGTACTAAACATTTTTGTCGCTGTTATTGAATGATAAGAAATAAAATCTTGATACTATTTAGATTTTTTTACTATTAAGACTCCCAATAGTGTGTACATTAACACTTTTAAATATTAAAATTACTTTTTAATATTTAATGAACGCAAAAGCTGTTAAATTATTGAGAAGCTACGCAATCAACTGGCAAAACCGTAATCAATTTTCTAAAAGTTTCAAAGTTCCAAAGTCGTTTGCATTAAACCCTGGCCTCAGGCTGCCTTTAAGCTGGGTGGTCAATTTCATGCCACATAGCACACAGTTTTAGTCCTGCCTTCTTACAGTTGGAAGCTATATAAAAAACGGGTTTAAATTGTGATAATCTTACTAATATTATAAATGTGAAAGTTTGTGTGTTTGTTTGTTTGAAGTTCAATCACGCATTAACTAATGGACGGATTGGGCTGAAATTTGGCATGATGATAGCTCACATTCCCGATTAACATATAGGCATATTCTTATCTCAAAAATCCTTTCGGGCTCCGCCCCAGTGGCTCTGTAGTTCCCCATGTTAACCTTATGAGTATTCATATTTAAAGGGAATTAAAGTATTTAGTCAGCTGTTTCAACTGAAAAAGTTGGTTCTATGATAAACAAAAGCATTAAAAAGTTATAAGATTTACCAACAGGTTGCAGCACTATTATTTTTTTTGCATTTATGAAAACAGCTAATTTGAACTAAGCAGCAGCAAAAAACTGTGATAAGCAATGAGAACTGTCAAAGTAGGATTGTTTACAGTTATATTTATTTTTTATTTCATGAATAATTTGTGATATTTAGCAAATTTTTTTATAATTTGTTTTTATCTATTGTTTAGGTGAAGTGGTAGAACATTATGACTATTGTAGATGTGCCATACTTATAGTATACTGTAAATTTAAAGAAACAAATGTATCAAACTGTGTCCTCCCCCATTGCAAACGCAAAGCTTGAATATAACTGGAATAATCATTTTATACTTATATGCCAACCCCGTACGAAGGACGGGTATGACTGCTAGTACTTAATATAACTAGGCTTACAGAGGTGTATTATATAATTTTAAAAGTATTGTTAAATAAATAATATTGTAACATTAGTGGTCCTAACAATTAAAAAAATTAAATGTTCCTTTCTCTTAGCGTGTTTAAATCTAGGCTACAACTGAGCCAATCACACGTTATGTATTGAAAATCATTATTGTCAGATTTTGGGCAGTAACCCCAAAGTCAATTGTAATACCAAAGTACTAAAACCAAGTAATTTGTTTAGTAATAACCAAGCCAAATTTGTTCTAATTTAATAAAAGGATAATGACTTTCTTTGGTTTCCCATTGTAAAATTATCCTTCGAAGAATATATTCAAAGAAAGATATTTTCTTATACATTTTCTTTCTCCAGCCAAATTTGTATGCTAACTTTGTCTGCTGACATAAACTTGTTTGAAGGCTAAATATGTCTGAAATGTAGGTTATACCTTGGTTATACTCAATAAGTGCGGTGTATTATAAACACCGACTCCCGGGCGAGAGGAATAATGTTTGCAAACTGGAAGCTTGGCAAAGCGATTTGAAATAGTGTGTGGCATGAAATACTGCTTGGGAAAGCGCTGAATACATCAAAGGGATGTCCCGGCTTTTCTGCTGATTAAGACTAAAAGTAATAAACTGTCTTTGTCTGGGACTGTAATTAATATAATTTCATCCAACGCAACATATTGTCTTGAAAATTACATGCTATTTCAATAATTTATTTTTTTAATTCTTACACAAATTAAAAATGGCATAGTAAACGTAATTCACCATATATCTGATAACATTTGTAACTGAAAATTTACTAGGGTTTATTTTTATTTTTGTTTTTTTTGTTACAAACATATTGATTGAGTGTCCTAGTGTCCATAATCAATCGTATTTAACAACTAATCAATCGTCAATATGTGTAACGAATATACTAGATATTTTGTAATAAATGCATTTTACGCTGAAACTAACGAATAGCCGTTGGCAATCGAATTATGTTGGAATTCGCTAATTAATTAAAATGAGCCCCTGACGGTCATAAGCCAATTACTTGCCATGCACAGTCCGAGTTAATCTATTTACAGGTAGAATTTATTATTGCTTGTTCAGTTGCACGCTGTGTTAAACTACCACAGTTATGTGGTTCAATGATTGTGACAAGATATGAGTGATGTACTGATGACGACATTGAGGATATTGCATTATTGCATTACTAATAATTGGATTTTGGTTTGCTACTTTTGAATGTTAAATATTTTTCACACCACAATGTACTAGGCATGCGGCCTTAGGTCCGCCAATTGAGCGAAGTAAGCAAGCTTTGATATTATAAACAAATAACTTTAATTTGATTCATGATTCAAATTGAATACATGATGACGTCACCATAGCAACAATCCAATTGAATTCTCGTGGTTGGTTGGAAAAGTTGAAGAAAATATGAATCCAGTCAGCTGTTTCTATTAGGTCATTGATTTTTACTTGTATATATGAGTAATAGTAAAACTGTGTGTTTGTAATAGCATAAAGATAAGTATTATTTTGTCAATATCCTAATGTTTGTTTAGCTCCCATTTATGTAATAGGCCTATAGGCTTCCTTCTCATTTTCTCCAACTAAAACATTTAGCCAATTAGTAAACTTTGCTCAGCGAACAGAATGACATAAGAAGGTGACTATATATGGCAATACCATTACCATAGTCAATGGTCACCACAGGAAATAAGGCGTGGCTAATTTCACGAGCTGATGATACAGTACTCTGAAAAAGATGGTGGTTGCCGCGACGCTGGTGGCATTGAATTGGTGAAGTTTGCGCTAGCTCCGCCCCGTTGCCAAAATAGGCCTACTGTACTCAATAAATAGATTAGATTTTAAAGACGGCACTGGATAGAGAATTGATGAATTAAACAAGAATATATTTATTCCTCATGCTAAATTACAGCATGATTAAGTAAAATACTGTATATGCATATTAACTACTGTAACAAAATTATTAAAATCAAATATAAAAGACGTTTTTATATTAGGATATGGCAATTTAATTTGAGAACCTGCACTGTGTTGATGTAAAGCCTATTTATTGGGTTGTACTAAATTTTCAACCTGACATAAAAATGCCAACATCCTGTTCTGTTAGCTGTAATAATTCATCTTATTGTATTACGGGAAAAATAGGAATATTATATCACGCTTATTTTATAACTGGACTCCCGTACAGGCCAAGGAGTCTAGGCTCTACTTTTTGTAATGATTACCTTATTATCTTCATCTTTTACCCAAAAGGGATTGATGGCGTCAGACTTTCAAATAAAAAATATATATACATTTAAACAAACAGACATAAATTACTGAACATATATTTACAACATTAGCATGTGTAATTGTAACTGTGTCTGTATATCTGCACAGAAAAATTATTTCCACACTTATAAGTTATAAATTGGACAACACAAGTTAACAAGTTTAGTTAAATCAAAGATTACATATGCTACGCAAATTTTGCGTAGCATATGTAATCTTTGGTTAAATATTTAATTATAATAAATAGCTATAACTGAACTTCTATATAGGCCTAGCAGTCTAGGCATTAGGCCTACGCATCGTAATCGTAACTGCACAAGCCTAACCAATTATTTACACGCCTTAAATAAAGTGGACTTCTATAAAATCCTAGGTAATTATTTATTTATTGTAGTCGCAACTGGACTTTAGTGTGCAAGCCCAGCAAATCACCTATTTACTTAGGATAGGCTACCGTTAATAATATTTGAAAATACTGAATTCCTGCTTCGGAAATACAGTTTCTATAGTTTTCAATTTGAATACTCTCTTTTACTGTTTATAAACTAAGTACCTGGAGACCGAGCTTTGCGCGGGGAAAATAATTCCCCCACTCTGCGATGCCAGCCTTTACTACTTCCTTCACCATTTCCTACGTCATTGTTTTCTTCCCTTCTCATAGCATTTAAGTTTTACAGATACATTAATCTAACTGCCACAAACGGTTCCCACACTCTGCGATGCTAAACTTTACTACTTCCTACGTCGTGGACATGTTATCATCTCTTTCCATTGCATTTTAGTATTTTAAATACATTAATCTAACTGCCAAAAACATTTCCCACACTCCGCACTGCTAGCATTTACTAATTCTTTGGCCATTTCCTATGTCTTGGACATCTTTCCATCCCATCTTATAGCATTTCAGTACTTCAATTTCAGATACAGAAATCGAACTGTTACAATTGGTTTCCAGTTCCCAGACTCCACAGTGCTCGCCTTTACTACTTCCTTCACCTCTTCCTACGTCGCGGACCTGTTTCCCTCCCTTCACATTGCATTTTAAGATTGCAGATACCTTAATCTAATCCTTATAAACAGTTCCTACACTCCGGACTGCTCCCCTTGACTACTTCCTTTACCACTTCCTACGTTTCGGACCTGTTTCCTCCCTTCCCATAGCATTTTAAGATTGTAGATACCTTA